GGTTCCTGTTGGTCGTGAGATCCCGTACTGGAGAGAGATGGAGCCCTCATGCTCTTTACTTCGCCCGTTCAGTTGACCCGACAGCTCTCAACCCTCCCGATGTCCTTGTGGGGACGGGCGCTGTATGCATGTTGTGAATTTCCTTTTCCAGTGGCTAGGTTACACGAGGCTAACTTGAAACCCATCATCCCAGGATAGAAGCTCACGGCGCGAGAGCTAACCGCGCGCTTATTGCGGGAGGCGACAGGAGACTGAGCTCCAACCGATCTTACGACGTTGAATATTCATGCCACAATTAACCGCCAACATCGCGAGAAATGGCGCCACCCTTATGAACAGTGGCTCGATCGTGAACGGTGGACCATGAGAAAGTGGTGTATGGTTGAAGTATATATACCTCTGATGCCTATCAAGTTGATAATGATCTCTCTAAGGCGTCTTTACTCTTGTTTTTATCTAGCCTCAAGCTCTACCGAAATCTAGGTTACCTACTTGCACAAGGATTCCCCGGGGGCGTTGTCTTATCATGCATTCCAACTATCGTACAGATTCTGAGAGCCCACAAAGGGGCGAAGGCCGTGCAGCTCCCCATCCTCCGCCGCCGCCGCCGCCGTCGTCGTTAGTCCCGGCTGCCGCAACAACTCCAATTTCGGCTTCAACTCCAAAACCACACCTCTTGTTTCCCCCAACCGGGCATGCTGGGGCTTTTATACTTGAGTTGGTGGTCCATAATAGCTCACCCTTCAAGGATCACTGGGCCTACTGGGTGAGCGCGAAGAAAAATCATTGCCTTGGTCTTTTGCTTCACGCAACCGGCGACGTTAGGAATGGCTTCAAGTTCGAGATCAAACGCAACTATGACTTCCGAGCTACCTTTACCATACCCATGGAAAGAATCGAATTCAATGGATTGATTCCAAATTCTTTGACGAGAAGGCAATGTTCAACGGAGAAAATCAAAGACCTCTGTGTAGCTTCGAGTTCAGCTCAGACAAGGTAAAACAGCCTCGGAAAACTTTGACTTCAGCTACCGATAACGCAAGTTCCCTTATACTTCTGTATTAAATGCTTTCTGGAGATTATGTATTACCCACATGCCAGACTTCAGTCCAGACTTGTATCCAAATTTTCGAGACGCTCAACTGGTTCGGTATTTTTCAGACCAACGCCGGCCAAAAAATCGTGCAACGAAACTGCCAAACATGGATTGTTGAATCTGCCGACCAACTTTTCAAGGACGGGATTTCTGCGGAAAGAAGTGGCTACCTATCTTGACGCCATCAAGCAGTGATTGGAAGCCTCTCTCTTGTGAACCGTGGACGAGGAGTCGAGAATGCTATTGGTTCTTTTGGTCCATGCACCGTGAGATGTGCTCCAATTGGGGTCTTGTACAAAGAAAGCAGACAAGATGGAATGCTCGGGACACAATGCCGCGCTGGTGTATTAAGCGGAGGAACCATTGGGATAAGTAGATGAGGGGGTTGGACTGGCTGGTTACAATATGCATATGTAATTATAGGGGCTTAATTGAACCTGGATTAGCATGTCGGTAGTTGCCTGTGTAGATAATAGTAGAATGAATGGCAACAGTATCTTAATGTCCTAAAATCTAGCTTGATACACAGGCAAGGGGTTATAAAGATCCAGCATTAAGGGAACTTGAGGAAGGCATTTCTCTTTCGCCTAGCCTAGTTAAACTCGTGACATGAATACTCAAGCGTATCGCTCATATATCATTAGATATGTAAAGTTTGTCCTCGCCAACAGACTAACTTTCCCTAACTTGAACATAATTTGATGAGCGTGTAGGCATTGGCGGCCTCAATCTGCTGTTGCACCCAAGTTGAGCAGGACTGCTTGCCAGTTCAACGTCTCAGAGGAAAGGCTTCCAAATTGCTAGCCTCCAAGATCAGCGCTTTGCCCTGCAGTGGGCGACAAGATAGAAGGCTACTTGGAGGCGACCCCAGCGATTTGTCTGCCGGGGATATCAGCCAGGGTACTCCGTATGGAGCAGTCGATGGGAAAAAAACACCAGCCACGGACTTGTTCATGGCAATCTTGAACAAATGCAGGTTGGTCGGCTTGGTGCTCAAAGCTCGGGTAGTGAAGGCCCATTATACGCTGCAGCGCGGTGCAGGATTGTCGAGAAGGAAGACAGAGGTCAACTTGTCCATGATGCAGATGTCGCGGACCTGGCGAAACGAAAAGGAACGAACGATTCTGGTCCCTGAGCCTCCGCAAACGCCCGGAAGGAGCCACTGGCTAACATTGGCCCGGCACTTGTAAGTTCAATGTTGTCAGCTGAATTTACAGCTGAACTCTGCCGAGGGCAGCCACCCGCCATCGCGCCTTCCCCGACAATAGGCATAACCGCCTACCCAGGTAACCTTACCACAACAACCGGACCTCGACTATTTCTCGTCTCCAGCGTCCCGTCTTCAACTTGGGAGTTTTGACAAACTCAAAAGGCGTGCGTCCCGCGCTACGTCTCATTGAATCAAATCTCCACTACCCCTTGCAGCTGTCGTAAATCGTCGATATTCCCCATCCTCATGGATCGCAGACCAATTAGCATGGCAATCAAGCTTATGTTCATGGTGCTGCGCCTTCGCCATCGGCCCCCCACTCCGCCTCCAAGCCGCCATGTCATTTGCGATTCGCAACGGACGTTGTGGGGTCCAAAACGAATCTTGGCATGGCCATTGAGGTTCGACGGTTGCCTTCGACTTTTCCCTTGATCCTCTTCTGTTTTATTATATCCCACAAGATCAATCTCGACCACCAAGACAGCTGTGAAACGAACGTCTAGGTGCTTGTCCAGCATGATCTGTCTCAACAAAGCTGACGAGGGTAGTTTTCGCCACCTCACCTACAATCAGAGCCCGCCTGCTCTTGCAGCAAACCAAACTACTCGCCAGGATCTGAATGGCATATCGAATCTGCGCGAGTATGTTGCAGCCAACCAAGATGATGCGTCTGGGGGAGAGACCGGTGGAATGCTAGGCGAAACACCATTGAACGACAAGTTGCGCCGCGAAGGAGAGCCACATCTTTTGGCTCAGGTGCCGGACGCAAGACGATGGGTTGGTGGTATGCATTGGACCGCCTCTTTCTGCTCTTCTCACAATACTGATTCAACTTGCTTAGGTCCGTTCTTGCGTTTCAAGGCGGTCGCTGGCTTCAATGGCCAGAATCGCCTTGTCTGGGTACATTCCGCGCGGTGCCTGGAGCGCCTTTGGAGCTGGTTGACCTGGATTTTATCCGTTCTCTTCTTCTCTTATTTGATTTCTAATTTGCGCATGTCGACCTACCGGACCGGAAATGAGAAACTCTTGTCCAATATTGAATCGACAGCAACCAATTCGTCTACCCTTGCCGATGCTTTTGAAATGCCGGAGCCTTCATTCCGCCAGGAATCTCATGGCCTCAAGAAGCGATCTTCTTGTGCATCTGGTGGCGTAAATAAGGACCAGTATAATACTGGGCTTCATGTCGCGGCACTCTTCATCATATGGTTCGTCTCGACACTAGGATGCGCATTTCCTATTATGGCTGCCAAGTTTCCCGGTTTGCGAATTCCACGACGTTTCTTCTTTGCTGTGCGCCACTTCGGAACTGGAGTTTTGATTGCAACCGCCTTTGTGCATTTGCTTCCCACGGCCTTTGTGTCCCTCGGGAATCCTTGCCTTGGGACGTTTTGGACCGAAGACTACAATGCAATGCCCGGGGCTATTGCTCTTGCTGCGATTTTCCTCGTGACCATTATTGAAATGGTGTTTCATCCGTCCAGACACGTCCCGCCCGCCGATATTGTTGCGAAACCTCGGGCCAAAGAGCAGGAAGAGCTCGAGACTACTGATTCGGATGGTCACCCGATCCGTGATATGGGACCTCTTCGTGGCCGATCTAGCAGCATGGCGCAGGGTCTCTCTCAGCTGAACCAAGCTGCCCCATCCGAAGAGATATCGGCAAAGGAGCCTGTTGCTGATTCTGCAATTGCCAAGTCAGTGTCCAACGATTGTCACGATGCCACGGAACAGGGCGAATGTGAACAGACCGTCTTGACACCAGAGCAGAAGCGTAAAAAAGACCGATTGCAGTGTATCCTACTCGAAATGGGCATTCTATTCCACAGTGTGTTTATTGGCATGGCTCTGAGTGTCAGTATCGGGAATGACTTCATCGTCTTGTTAATTGCCATCGTTTTTCACCGTAAGTTGAACACCAGCGCATGCCCTATAAAACATACTCATGCTGTATTAGAAACCTTTGAGGGTCTGGCACTTGGCTCAAGAATCTCTGTTATCGAATGGGGTGACGAGACATGGCAGCCATGGCTCATGGCGTTGGCATACGGTTTCACGTACGTATACCACCACATCACTTCCTCCCTCTTGGTAATGTGTTTGACAAAAGATAGCACACCGATCGGTCAGGCCATCGGCCTCGCTACGCATATGCTCTACAGCCCCGATTCCGAAGTCGGTCTCATCCTCGTCGGAGTCATGAATGCCATTTCTGCCGGTCTGCTTACGTTTGCATCCCTTGTGGAGCTCCTTTCTGAAGATTTTCTGAGCGACGAGAGTTGGCGTCACCTCCGAGGAAAAAATCGCATAATTGCCTGCCTGCTGGTCTTCTTTGGTGCATTTGGCATGAGCCTGGTTGGCGCCTGGGCTTAAGTGTGCACGAATAGGAGTTACTAAGAGAGTGTTGAGAGAGCGTCGAAATACGCCACATCAAGTGCGCATTGGTGAGAATGCGCCTTGAAAATCTAGGGGTCGTTTGACTTACTTTCTTTGTGGCCACCATGGTCATACTATATTTTGACGATCTTGCCGATGGCATTTTACAGATAACTTGGGGATAGCTAGAACCTTCCTTTGGACAATATACACTCGTTTACAACGAATCCGCCCTGGTATTTCTGACAAGTCGCCTCCACCGTTAATGACGGACAAGTCATTGGCATATGCATCATGTATCCAGGTATGTATTGTGCATTATGATGCAGTATTTTTCGCCACCACGCCTCTCGCAAACTCGCCAAACGTCAAATGTGACTCAAGATCCACCTCATCACCCAAGTTGGGTTGCGTAAACACGGCCAGCGTATTCCTGGCAATAGCACCACCGCTCACAGCCGCCCTCACGCCCCTGACATAATGCGGCACAGCCTTGAACTTGCCCGCCGTAATACGCTCCAGGGCCTCGCCAGTCTGGAAAGCAATACAGTCCCGCGGAATCTTGACCTGATACGTCTCTCCCGCGCGAGACAAGATGTACAGCCCCGCTGAAGAATCGGGCGACGCCGGAAGTTCCTCCAGCGGCGGCAAAGACGCGCCAGTCAGCTCAACGTGCTCAGGCACAGCAGGACTAACTTTGTGCTCGTCAATAAACATGGCCGACGTCAACCCCGTAAGACACCCGTGGTCGAGATGCGTAGCGCACCAGTCGTCCTCGCCTGTTCCGTCATTGTCGTGCACGTCCTGCGGGAAGTAGTGCAGCAATCTGGCCTTGGTGGTGCTCGAGGTGCTCACCACGTGCTCCAGGTAGCCCTTTGGATATCCCTCAATCTCCCTCTCCGCGAAGCCATCACACGCTCGCGCAACCAGCGCGGCAACGTCGATGACGAGCCTGCACAGCTCCGTGACGGCGGGTTTGAAGCCGGGTAGTACATTTTCCGGCGGCCACACGTTGGGAGACAGGTACTCGGGGAATGTCTCGGGCGAGAACTCGTCAGTGGGCTCGGCACACTCGAGGGCCGGATCGACGTAGAATGCGCAGTTGGCGTAGTACGAGCCCTTGAAGGTGTCCGCCTGCCCGTTTTTGAGCGCTTCTTTGCCCAGCGACCAGCCCGTCAGGTACTTGGCCTTTGCGTTTTCCAGTTTTTCTACAACCGCGTCAGCGCTAGTGCGTTGCAAGTATGTATGTAGAGCTGGGAGCAACCGCCGTGGTGAGCGGTCATGGTGCTTTGGCCGTACCTAGTTCCTCGGCAGGGAGGTTTCCCAGGTACGAGGCGTAGGAGAGCGCCAGGCGGCGCAACTGCGGGAATTCTTGGGGCACGTCTTTGACGACCAAGATTCCTAGGGAATCGGGCCCAAAGGCGTGCTGTAGGGTTTCGAAAGAGACGTTGCCTGTTGCGTGTAAGTTTGCCGTGCTGCGCCCGTGATGCATCTTCAATATGCGCCAGCCGTACCATCAGTTAGGTCCCTCAGGGACACTGTTACGGGCTGTGCTTGCGCCACCATTCTGCGTTGCACATCAGGTAGTTTTCCGGACTCTCGAGGAAGGTGACGCAGAATTCGGATCTGCCAATATCGGAGGGATCCGTGGAAGCAAAATACATTTAAACCAATTGACATGACAGGCTTACGTCAATGGTTACCTGCGGGGGAGGGGTATGAGCAGGCGAGGGGTAGGGCCACCGTGTAAGAGGCGGGGGTGGCATAACACTGAGTTCTCTCAGTGCTGCGCTTTTCGACTCTCGTGTGGTCCTAGTGGTCTGGCACAGAAAAACTCCTTCTCTATTATGACGACGTAGAAGCGAGAAATGATCAACCTCGCCTATCAGGGGAGGCGTAAAAGTTCACCCTGTCGGCAGGCCCGTGAGGAAGAGTGTAAGGGATGGTCACATGCGGTCCAAGAATGACCCGTCTGGACGTAGGAAATCGTGATTGGTCTGTCTACTTAATGGTGCGCCAGAAGGGTGCGAGCGATCATCAGATGTATTCATATAGAGGCCTCAATGCATTTCGCGCTTCAACAAACCAGACGCCCTTGATCAGCTTGTACAAGATGCTAACTGCCTCCCATCTCATCCTAGGTCAACGCGTGTTTAACCGTCACGGACCGTGGCTCCAGGCCGGACCCTTGTCCAGACGGCGGCCGCTTCCGCTGGTGATCAGCCGCTCTATTTGCTGGACAAGCTTAGCCCCTCAAAAGTTGTGGAGGTGCGCTTGAAGCACCCCGGTGTCCCGTACATCTTCAGGTTTATTGCTCGTGATCCTTTGTCCTCCAAGTTCGCCGTGCCAGTCTAGAAAATACGACCCTCCGGCTCATCCCATATCTAGTAGGCCATATTCTTCAGGGCCCGTTCATCCTCCCACTTCCTTTGCTGGGGTCCCTTGTCGGTTGCCCGTCACTGTCGGATAGGGTTTGCTCCCACTCGCAGAGCATGTTCCCTGAGGTCTGGCTGACAACCCCGTGAGATCCACCGGAGAGGCGACCCGGTAAGGGGTTTGAAGAAGACTATGCTGGCTCACCATCAGTCAAGTGCTTGCTCAAAATGCGCTCAACAACTCGAATGTTTTCTTGCCAAAAGTCTCTTTTCTCATCAGGGGACAAGTCTTTGGGTCGCCATTCAGGCTTCATGAAGAGGCCGAACCTGAACCACTCCAGGAATGCCTGTGTCGCCTCGCTCTGATTCCACTGCTCCCAGTCGTGGATGGCGGCCCAGAATGCCTTGCGGAGTTCATCCGCACGATCGTACTCCGGGCCGAACTCATTGAGAGCAGGCTCGCGGAAAAGCATCTCAATGATCCGGTAGAGTGAGGCATATGGTGCGCTGGATACGAACTCCCAGTCAATGACGGCTTGTATCTCGGTGGGACTCTGAGCAGACACTATGATGTTGTGAAGGCCCATGTCCGCGTGCATGGCGACGATTGGAATATCTTCGACAATGGCAGGAATTTCGTGCAGGTGGTTGTCCACAATATCCCTTATGCGCTCTAGAAACTGCTCCTTATAATCCTCAATACCTTGTTGTTTTTCGAGGGCAGCGAGTGAGAACCTGATGTACGCTCGGAGATACTCGCGTACAGAAGCAAACGGGCCGCCGAGGCTGCAGTGTCGATCGGGCTCGATCTTGAGGACGACTCGACCGTCAATCGTAGCGGCAGTAAGCTCACCGATCAGATGATCCTCCGGGAGCTGGATTTGCCAACAAGCCTGAAACGCGACAGCCATCTTCTGCACAAAAACGAGTTTCTCGTTGTGTGATAATTGAGGGTAGACTGAGGATGCCATAACGCCTGGTATAAGCCGAGTTATTTGCCTGCCCATTCCCGTGGTCTCTTGCCGTCTCCATTCTCCTGGTATTGGATACACAGGAGGCACAGGCAAGATCCGATGGTCAACCGTCCTCGAGATCAAGGTCATGATCGAATCCATGGACGAGACACGGCCGTGATGGCGTAGCTGAACTACATATGCGATATCCAAGCTCTCCTGGACCGTGACTTTGTACGAGATACTTAGAGCGCCGTCGGTGAACCTTGTCGACGAAGCCAAGTGTTGACCCGTTGCTGCGAAAATTGCCTCCGCAAGTTCTGTCTCGGAGAGTACGATGGGTTCCGGAGGGGATATCTTTCTCGAAGCCCTATCGAATTTAATCAGGTATCGATCAATGGGCATTGGGGGCCCATCATCGTCCTCCAAAGCTGCCGACCAAGAGAAGGTGGTAGGCGTTGCTTCAATCAGCGCATAGCCTACGGCTTTCCCCTTGGGAGACCCGAGTGCGCCAGAGAACATGAAGGCTCAAAGAGCAGATACTGCTTCATCTTGCGTAGCGAGTTCTCCAGACATGGTCGACGATGAGACTCCGAAGGAGGTATTTTTTACCTGTTAGGATCGGGTTAGATGGGAATTTGGAATCCTAGTCTTGAAAACCAGAGAAAAGTCGGTGCGGCTGGGTACGCAAAAGCACGTGGCGGTTTGCCTACCTAGGTAATCTTGAGCCGTCATTTCGCTTCCCACCAAGTTCAATCTGTTGGGTGACCTGATCTACTACATCCTAGCTACACGTTGTTCGACAAACAAGGCAGCGACCGTTGGGCACCGGTTCAAGCTGCGACATCAACGATCTTACCTAAACCACAGAAATCCTCTGACTTCGCAGCAGCCCACATGACATTAGTGTACTGGAGCGGGACCTCTTTCGGGTTAAAGGCATTCATCCCGTCTTCGGTTGCTACGTGGTAGTGGGCAACAGTTTCTCCGGAGGTCTGCCGAGTCTTTGTGACATGTCAACGGTCCATCGGTGCATTCTGGAGTGCCTGGATCTTGTCCCGGTTTGGCTTCAAATTCCCAGCCAGATTCGAGCATCTCACTTGCTGGCTGGAGGTTGACTATCCCCATTGGCACCCTGAACAGTACCCGCATGCTAGGCACCATACTCTCCACCATTGACGCAGCCTTTATCCTTCGAGGAAACAATCTCTGTGATTCCTGCAGAGCGTGCGTAGTCAGAGAACTCTTGCGCGAACGAGTCCCATGTTCCAGGTGAGATGTTGATCGCCAAAGCCTTGGACGATTTCGCGCATTCTCGCAGTCCATATTCGTATGCGATAAGGCTCCCGTTAGAGGAAGCCATCCACATGAGCGGAACTAGAGAGAACTCAATGGGTTCGGGATAGCTAACCACCTTTACGATATTGACAGAAATGCTTGCAACATCTTTAGATCCAGAGATCTCGAGCGTTCTGTGCCCCAAGGCCTCTCTATCTCGGGGGGTGGGGTGATGGTGTGGGGGATGCGGCTCGATGGGGTTAGCGACGCTATGCGCGGCGGCAATTGCGAACAGGGCCGGGAGGTGGTTACGCCTTAGCTCAAGAAGGTTTACAAGCCTGGTTGCCTTATAGCTAATTACCAGACTATCATAGACGTTTACAGGCAGTATTAAATTAAGGGCGAGGTGAGACATGGGGGAAGATAATGGTATTAAGCGTAAAAGATAGCTCAAGACTAGGAAGAACTTAACCTAGAATGATGGCCCTTTATGTTTAGTCTAGCTAGCCTATAGCACACCTAGCGGCAGTGGTCTTGCAGTTCCTCGAATATAGTGATGGTGAGTTAAGGCGAGTGAATAATTATGCGGCCCACGTCCAACATGCAAGTCGCTCAACAGAGTATCAAAGCGACAAGTTCCTCGGTGAGCTAAAGGCGGGCTTTTCACGACACGCGCGGTACATTAAAGACATTTAAACTATTATTTTCTCATGTATAACTGATTCACGCATCCTTATAAGTGGCTAAGAGGTGATAATAAGTCTCCTGCTTCCGTCCTATTGCTAGTACCACACTAAAGCTAATCGGCCACGTTATAAATAGCATGCTCGAGGTAATATCCCGTTTTGATTGGGTGGCAGGTTAATAATTGGATATCTCGCAGACGAGGGCTTACGCTTTCGCCTAAAAATATGGCGACGATTAGTGAATCCATGTTAATTGGGGAAGCTGGCATTCGACCCTTAGTCACCGACGTGGGATTTGTGTAGGCCTAGACAGGTCGGCCTCAAGTAGACCGCTACCTTTGGTGTTGCTTCGCGGACACGTCAGTCCATGACCACGCATCGTCTCCCCAATCCCATTGGCTGAGGTTCGAGGATATTTCGAGTGTCTCCTGAGCCGGGCTGCTGCCCCGACTTTCGTGAAGATGGCGCCTGTAGGCTACAACCAAGAGCTTCAGGAAGCATCTTGATCTCACAGCCAATTATATGTCTGCCGTGACGATAGCCTCGAGCCAGCTATCATGCAGCCAGACGTGCGTGTGACTCAGAGATGGGGGCCAAAGTGAGCTCCAGAGATGCGCACCTCAGACCAGCAAGCCGTTCCCCCTAGTTATGTGAGTCTGTCACAGCGCATGCTCCCACCACACGGCACGGTCATTACAACTAACACTCTCGGGGAGGTGGGAAAACAGTAGAGCATTCGTATCAGGAAGAGTGTACGCGGTTGGGGCGATGACAGGTCATCTACGGAGTATTGCTGCCCCCGCATCACCGAACGCAAGCCTTGAATATTGACACCACTTGAGCAAAGTCAGCGTGGCCGATCGAGGGCCAATGGCTGGATAGAGGGGATGGTCGTGGGACGGTGAGAGACAAGAGCCTGGTGTAGGACCACTGAGAGGTCAGCGGTAATTCTTTCGTGGTATGATGTTTCACTCAGCCCCCAAAGAATCCCCCGATGAATTGGCATCCTGCCACATAACAGAGCCCGTTTAATCCAATCGCTCACCACATTAGGGAGGGGAGCCCATGAAACCGCGTTGCTGCAGGTGGCATAGCATGATCTGGCGCAGGCAGCCACCAAAGCCCTTTGATCTTATCTCTTGGATTCCTTGCCTGGGAATCTGGATCTTGACGAGGCCGCAATCATGAGGCAGAGGAAAACCACGGGGGCATCAGGTGTGCTTATTGTGATTGACGGACCGCTATTTAAACAGCATCCCATGTCGGTTCCGCTCGAGGCTCCCACGCTCATAGCCTCAATATGACGAGGAACGCAGTGAATCGCGTCGGTTGCGTACGCACGGGGGGAGGTGTTTCGTTACGCTAACGTAGGTGCTATTGATACTTCAGCATCGTGATATGGTGAGTATACGACAAGGATATACGACAAGGATATTCAATTCTATCCCTGTGCAGGATGCAGGACGTGAGGTGCCGCACCAACACTATGGCCCATCTTGCGAAGTCGCGCTCTTCCGGTCGCGCCTCACCTGGAAGATAATTGTCGTTTCGGTTCGTTTGGTCGTTTGGTTGGAGAGCGCAACGTCCACGTTATGGTCTGTTGTTGCATGGGCCATAGCCCCAGATCTCTAGCCAGCAAACCACCGCGAAGGCAGATCAGAGCCGCATCATGGGAGATACTCTGCGAACCAGTGCAAATCTACTGGGTGTGAACAACTCCCAAGGCTTCACGTCGCGCTTGCTCACAGGACACGCTAGCGGTCACCAGCGAATTGTAGAAGGCTAAAAATTGCCCACTGCAAAAAGGTGACATGGAGTCACACGAACTCGCATCTTAGCAAGGGCAGGTGGCCAATCAATTTTACCCGCTGCCACTTTCCGATGCCTTACGCGCCTTAGATTAAATTGGCCAGGTTGGAAGACCACAGACTTGGCAACCCCCGTGCCGGCCATCTGGTCTCTGCAGTCCTTTACTCCGTATGTCGGCCAGCCTGAATAATGGCACAAGAACCGTCCTTCTTTTTCACACCGCCCATCTCTCATTATGAAGGGACGAGTTCCCAAGCCGCGGGCCTGCCGCTCTCATCTCAAACTGCCCAAGGCACCGCAAAAGAAGCGGCTGGACACTATTGCAAGCAGGGCTCTAGGTATGAATGTCGAGGAGCCTCTGTTCCCGGAAGTTGGAACACATACTAATCCGTGGTGCAGAGCTTCCACCGGGCCGCGGAGGTCGTTCTCCAGCGGGTGGAGGTGTCGCGCAAGACACGACGCTCTTGCAGTCCAAACGGCCACTGGACCCAGCATCTACGAACGATTCCTCGCCTGCAAAGAGAGCGCGGTTGACGCGGACGGACATACATAGAGGTAGGCATCCCGCCACACCGACAACAGGTGGGAAAAATATGTCAACGTGACGGTTACAGGACCCCCGAGGCGTAGTGCAAGACTTCAAGGACAGCAACCAGCCAGCAGTGGGAATTCTGTTCCGCCATCGAGAGCTTCTTTCGGACGGCAAATCGAAGCAGGTGTTGGGACGTCATCGTTGAAGCGACCGGGATCGACGAGAAGGAATCCACAAACCCAAGCGGAGGACGAGCAATTAGAGCAGACCATCGAGGTAGGACCACGCTTATTGATGTATGCCAACTACTGACAGCCCGTGTAGACTGCGCAGCAGCCAAAGACCCCCAGGCGACCATCCAACTCGCTTCTCAAAGCCAGAGTCGAGGAACAGGGGCGAGTCTCATCAGCCACGCTATTGCGGAAACAGCAGATCGACAGCGAAGGCGGCGGCAACGAACAACAGCTAAAGCGGGCGCGATTGACAAGGGAAAACTTAGCCGAGTTGGACAATATGGTAAAGAAGGGAGCCAATAAGACGTTAGCCCCTACTGCCCCGGAATCCACTGTCGCATCAACATCAATAAAGACGACAACAAAGACTACTTCATCAACAACGTCTGGCTTTGCTATCCATGCCTATAAGAATGGCATCCTTGACCCCGTTAGCTCCAAGCCGCCTGAGAACCTTGAGGATATCCGCGAGCGAGCCGTTAGATCCCGTGCAACCGCTTCGCCCACTGAGTCAGATTACAGGCGCTATGTGAACAGAGTCGAGGTAGCCCCTAACGAAGCCACAATGGTTGTTGAGGTCAGCGGGCAGCTCCTGAAGAAGTATGATGACGAAGGATACCACCAAGTATTTAACCAGGCATTCACGGGCTTTCCAAAAGACGTTGGCTTTAATAATGGCTTGTCTGTTCCGCAGCCTGACTTTATTGAGGGGCTTGGGATGCGAGAGTTCCGCCCGTTCCCGGTTGATGAGCATGTCAGCGGGGCCGTTTTTTATAAGGATAGCCCGCAATCTTTAACACTACCACATTTGGTCGGGGAGTGCACTGGAAAGGATATGGCAGAAGCGAAGCTACAGAGTGCCTATGACGGAGCGGCTCTTGTTTATGCGAGGAACCAGGCCCTTTCTTATATCGGAAAACCTGATCCGCTAGGCCATGCAAAAGTCACTACCTTCACCACGGATGGTACTAATCTTAACCTGTATGCACATTATGCTGCCCCATTGCCGGACGGCACGCTTGAATACCACCAGTATCCCATTAAGTCAATAAATCTCATAGACTCTCACCAAGGGCTTAAAGACGGCCGAAGAGGGCTTAGGAATGAACAGGACTATGCGAGGAAACAGTCGTATGCCATGAGGGATCAGCTAAAGGAGCACTGGAAGCAGCGGAGCAGTGCTCTCCACCCAATTGCCGAAAGAGCTTCCCCGTCTGTTGCTGATAGCACTTTTAGGGAGACGAACGCAGACGAAACTGGGTACGTAGTGGTTGAGCAACCCTGCCAGCCCACTCCAGCGGCGTCAAGCTCTGTCTTGTCATCCAAGTCGGCCCCACCTGTGTATGACTACGTCTCCTGTAGCAGTGGCCACAAACGGAAGGCTTCGTCATCGCAAAGACCTCACGGATCATCCAAATCAAAAAGCAAGGCTCAAGAGTATTGGAAATGGGACGCAAAAAGGGGCCAATACTTCCATAAGCATTCCGACGGTAAAGTCACCTGGCTTGAGGATTCTGACGATGAAAATTGAGGGCGCCTGTTCGGGATTTCTCCTGCTTCACACTACAGCGTTCTCGCAGTTGGTTCACTCCAAATATAGCTAAAACTAGCCAAACAAAGTGACAAGTAGATCGGGCAGGTGTATGTTGGTCGTGATGGGGTGAACCGGTTTGGAGATTGACTTGCTCAGTGGATTCTTTGCAGCACATCCTGCGTGTATTCGATACCGAATGTCTATCCGTAATGGTATTCGATCTCCCATTAGACAGCGTAGCTGCTATTGGCGCGTGGTCAATAATCAGTGCCTTTCTGCTAACGTCAGCAGGGTCCAAATACTGTATCCATGGTTAACTCACAAGCCTCCGATGGACGTCAAGGTAGAAGGGTTCCCAAAAGAGTGACCACAGGCGCGAGGACAGATCAACCAACCACGTCGGTAGATGGTGCAAGCACTGCCGAGGCACCATCTCCTCTCGGCAAATGGATTCAAAACCTAGGCATCAATTTCTTGAGACAAGTCTCCCCATTCGCGCGTGGGTCGGCGATGATCAGCTTTGCTCCAACGGCGTAGAACTCAACCTTCAGACCATCGACAGCTCGCCCACCCGTCGCTATCTAGCATCAACTCGTATGACGTGTTAAGATTGAGCAGACATGCCCCGTTATCAGGTTGATCTCCGCCGTTGGGGCCGGAAGTTAAGTTTACAGGCCCCAATTTCGTTCTGCGAGTGGTAGGACTGATCCGCCAGTGCTCCGACTTGTGTTCCGTCAAGTCTCTCCTCTCAAGTGCGATGCTATGACGGCGCCTGACGAACCTTGCCCAAGGAGTGTGCCGTTAGAGCCATCGAGAAAGTAAAACAAGTCCCATGATGATTGTTCTGATTGCTTGATACGGGACGCGAGCGATTTTTTTTTTCGAAAGGAGAGCCCATAACAATCTCGACTGCGACGAAGAGAACGACCACACCCCCATCCAACGACAAAGTGCCGACAGGATCAGGAGATGTGCCTCCGCGGAACGTCGCGGGGAGCAAACAGCATTCTAACGACTTCACCTTGTCCTAGACTGGCTGCATGATGTAGACCTGCGCTTCCCGGACCACGGTCAGCTTTGTGGGGCGGCCATGGTTTAAGAGTCGAACCTCCTCGAGAAGATAAGTCGCTCATGCCGGAGAGCTTTTGATCGATGCTTGCACTAGATTGAAAGGAAAATTCGAATCAATGGCCTTCAAGGGACTTTTATATCCACTAAAGCAGTGGGGAGACACTCATCCGTCTTGCCCCAAGCCCTCCTCAGGATGGATGCTCATGATGAGATCCTTCAACTTGGCGAAATGCCTCAACAATGTCAACAGGGGTCTCGTTGATTGTGCCATCTGCCGAATCGAGCACGCATAGACGAGGCAGATTCCAGGTCCAGGAGTGACCGCATTGCCAAAGAGACATCGCTGAGCATGCAACGAAGAGGGTGGAGTTACATCGTCCGGATAGGAGATGGTCGCTTCAAGCTCTCTAAGGACCTGCGACAAGGCATCTGGAGGCATCTAAGGGCTGCATTGGGTGGAGTCCTATGGTGGCGATAGTACTATTAACATCGTGTCCAGGAGGATTGAACGCGCACAAGCGAGGGCAGACAAGCCGTATGACCGAAGAACGTTTCCACTTCTGGAGTCCTATGAATCCCTCTTGTAGAGTTCCTTTATGCGTCAATCCCTTCGCGTCGAAATGTCGTCATGTTGTGGAGGGCTGCGCGCTTGCCGATGTCAGGGAGGCGTCCTTGATCTTGGGACTTCGGACTTGGGTGTATCCGCGCTCAGGCTACCACATCCGCTTCACCTCCTGCTTACCCAGCTGTCCTCAAGCGAGTAGCCCCTGGAGCATCCACGGTTTATGTGGTGGGAGGCCTGCGAGGTGTGGTTGACGCATCTGGACGCTGCTGATATAAGTTCGCACTTCCTCCCCCGTTTCCAATGGTCAAATCCCTCCATCACCTGGTATTCCCATCACCCATCTCATCTGCCAGTTGAAATGATGTCTTCTCCTGATGCCAGCGACATCCTCTTTCCCACTGAGATTGAGCACCCACGACATCTTGTTCTGAGTGCACTGGGACATCAACCCGCTCTGCTCACTGAGCATGTTTCTATACGAGGAGCCCAACATGAGAATGCGGCCTTGAGAAATAGTGATGTGCCCTCAGAATGGGGCTTTGAAGGCTTCCTAAGCGATCATACACCCAGGAGTCCAACCTCACGTCTTCAATCGGACTTTTCTCGGCGAATGCGGTCTGGTCGTGCTAGCAACCATATTTAATTGAAAGTATTTATTATTATATATTTATATTAAAAATACATTATAGAACTTGATATTAAAGTTATTAAATTAAAATAGAATATAATTAAGTATTAAGCGCTTAAAGTAAAATAAAAAGAGTATTTTAAGTAATTAATAAGTTTATTAAAATATATTAAAAAGTAATAATATTAAAGAAGCTAAGAGAATATAAATATCCTTTTTTGAAAAATAATTATATTCTTTATATTTAATCTTAATACCTAAAGGACTATTAATTAGCTTTAAATAAAACTTCTTCTATTGAAATAATAAAAATCAAAGGTACCAGGTTAGTAGTCCTACCGCTCGTCGCATGAGAAAGTCCGCTTATATAATCACAGATGCCCTTTTGAGGTTCCAGCAGCCTACAGTGTGATGGAGCTCGCCGCCTCCCGGTCGCATGCTCATCGCTCACCGACGCCAACCGCGCCTTCTCAGACTGCCCCATCCCGCAGAATGGTCAAGCCGTTGAGCTTCAAGGGCGACAAGAAGCCCAAGAAGCGGAAGCGCACTGCTGATGCCGACCGAGATGATGGTGAAGCCGGCCCTTCGCGGGTGCAAAAGGTCAACGACGACGACGCCGCCGCGGACGATGACAGCTGGGTTTCTGCAGACGCTGCGACGGACGTGGTTGGGCCTGTCATGATTGTGTTGCCCACCGAGAAGCCGTCTGCGCTGGCGTGCGACCCCAACGGCAAGGTGTTTGCGATGCCCATTGAGAACATCGTCGACGGAAACCCCACGAGCGCGGAGCCGCATGATGTTCGCATGGTGTGGGTTGCGAACAAGGTATCCGGCACGGACAACTTTCGCTTCAAGGGCCATCACGGACGGTAAGCTACCTGCCATCGCGAGCTAACGCAACTCGCCTGACGCTGATGCCAACACGGAAAAATCATCATAGATACCTGGCCTGTGACAAGATAGGCTTCCTATCCGCCACGTCGGAGGCCATTTCCCCCCTCGAGTGCTTCAACGTCATCGCCACAGCCGACACCCCCAGCACTTTTCAGCTACAAACCCTCCGCGAGACATTCGTCACTGTCAAGCCCAACACGTCGTCTAAATCGACTTCTCCCGCAGAGGTACGCGGCGACGAGGACAAAATCACGTTCAATACGACCATGCGCATACGTATGCAGGCCCGGTTCAAGCCCAAGCTCAAGGCGTCCAAGGAGGAAAAGGCCTTGTCGAAGATTAGTAGGCGCGAGTTGGAGGAGGCTGTGGGCAGGAGGCTGGATGAGAACGAGGTGAAGGTGCTGAAGAGGGCAAGGAGGGAGGGCGATTATCATGAGCGTCTGTTGGACTTGAAGGTGAAGAATCGCCATGACAAGTTTGGATGAGGAGCTCACGTCGACCACCTTGACAGGTCGTCCACGTATGCTTCAGCTAGCCGGCGCAAGATGGTCCACAGGAGCAGTTCCGAGCCTCGCATGGCATCATGGCGAGTTCAACGTGTCTTGACTGCGGGCATTTGGCTGGCTCCCTTAAACGGAGCTCCATGCCATCGGTAACTGTATATACATCGACATGCCGCGGTGCACAAACAACGTACTTCTAGCACGTAGCGTAATACACAACCAAGACAAAATATTGCAGAGTAAGGGCCACTCAAGACTCAACGCCAGGGATATCATGAGCACACCACCACAATTGGTCCCTAACTCCCCCTCCAAGCCTTGACGTTCCCATCCTCGCCCGCCGTAAACACAACCTGCGCATCATCAAAGAAGCAAAACGCGCGCACGATATCCTCCCCATGCGCCCCGGCCAGTCCCACGCTGTTCTCCCTGTCAAACACCCACTTTGGCCTGTGGCCCTGATTCCTCGCCAGGAACACAAGTTCGAAACTCTGCTTCCTAATCTAACGTCAGCATACGGCTTCATCCCCCTCAACCAGAGACTTACTCCTGGGCGCCGGCGCCGATAATCGCGCCGCTACCATCCGTCTTGCTCATCACGTCCGCGACGTACTGACACCCCAGCACGCTCCTCAAGTCGCCCCAGTTCTGCGCGGCGTCACCCCTCTCCGTCCGCTCATCCATGTCATACAGCGCGAACTGCTCGTCATGCGACAGCGCCACGACCTCCGTCCCCGTAAGGAACCTAGCGTGGTGAATAGACGCGCCGTGGTTAAACGTCTGCAGCGTGACGTCGTCCTCGTCTGCGACCCTCGTATCATAAACGTTGACCAGGCCGTCCGTCGACCCGCTCAGCAGAATAGCCGGCTGGTCAGGGTGGAAGGCCAGCTCCGTCACGTCGTCGCTATGGACTTCCTGGTAGTGCGCGCGGGGGGAAGGGCTAGACCTCACGTCCCAGGTGAAGATGCTCGCCATGTGGTCCTGCAGCTCGGTGCCCACGGCGATGGTCTGCGTGGACGGCGAGCAGGCCATGGACAGGATAGGCGACGGCGCGGCTGTTGCACCTCGTCAGCTGCCGGTCTCAAACTACTGCAGGTGTCTGGTGTCTTACCGTTGAACCGGGCGACGCGGGCTTGGTCCCCGCGTAGTCTGAGATCCCACACGGCCACCGTCCCGTCCTCGCCTGCCGTGCACACCAGCGAGCTGCTCCCGTCGAACACGCGCAGGCTGGCCAGGTTGCCGTGCTGCGTCTTCCACGAGGCCAGGGGGCCGGCGGCGAGTCGTGCCGGGCTTAGCAGCGAGAGGTGCTGATCTGAGGAGATTGTGACGAGTCCGGCTTCTGTGCGGTCCACGTCGAGGACGTATGTTTCTTCGGGGCTGGAGAAGCGGTGCGTCGCGACGTTGGTGAGCGTGTACATGGTGGGTGATTTGTGAAAGTTTGCGACGTGAGAGTTGAGCAGGCGGGGTTTTTTGCGCACCAGGGCACGGGAGACAAGAAACGGTGTGTTTGTGTGTATTCACAAGTGTGAACCAGGCACAAATGCCTGGTTTAGAATCAAAAGCGCATTTAATACGCCGTTATGTGCTTCACGGACGGCCTTGCCATGTGGTTCCAAGTGTCTGGTCGTCAGTAGACATCGAAGCGTCGGTGGATAAAGATTTGCAGACCCACGGAGGAGACCTCACTCGCCATGTCACTGACCAGAGCATGTACTTCACAACACGAAAGAGGCATCAAGTACATTTTTTTTAGGAATGAAATGCTTTTTAAAAGTCGTGTTCGACCCCCATTATGTCTATATATCAATGTCCACGCTACTAATATTGTACACTGTCGTATTCTCACTCAGAAACTCAACCGGAGATGATCTGAGAAGCCGTACAAGAGAGATTGGCCGCAAACCACCCGCTTATTGCCGGTCAACGCCTTAAAAATGCAAATATTTTGGTGTCTCTCAAAATTGCCACCGCTGCCCCGTTTATGTGAAATTAACGCCTTAATTGTCTTCCTCCCGCTCGCTCATGGATCGCTCGTTGACGCTGCGAAACGCCCTCTTTCCAACCTCGTAGCTGCTAATCATGATGGCACATGCCGGTGCAACTTTAAGAACACGAGGGGCCCAACCTTTCCATAATCCTGGAGCGCCTTCTGTCTTGAAAATATGCCACAAAAGGCGCATCATGTTCTTTTCCTCGGGTACGTGAGCTTTGCCTGCGAGTCCGCTAGGGGCGTCTCTATAAACTTGAGTTCGCGTCTTTCCGACATCAAACGGTGTTGTTACAATCGAAGCAAAGGTCCCGGACAGAGCCCCAGCTGTGAAAGAGTCAACAAACGTCCCCATGTGATTCTCCTGGCTCTGGGAGCGCCGTCGAGCATTTTGAAGGGATTCTGCTCGGTTAAAAGGTCGTCCCCGATTGCCCTCCCGCATATCCGTTAACCGAGAGCGAATAGTTTCGTAACCCCACCAGTAAAGGCCAGAGAAAGGAACATCTCGCCAAAGTGTCAACGTCAGTCCTCTCCACAGAGACACATAGCCGTGTGTAGCCACCATGTCCCGCACACCCTGAAACGTTTCCATCAAGTGATTCGTCGTTGATGTTCCATGGGCCGCTTGCATTCGCGTTCGAAACAGTTCGATGGGCCCAACAGCGGTAGCAGCAAGAATACGGGCCGTTGATCCTGCAACCAGAGGAGCGTTGTCGCTGGAAAGCCTGGAAAGCGGGCTGACTGGATTGTATCGAAGCCAGTCATAGCCGGTGAAGTAAATTATGTTGGCGGGAATGGTCATAAGTAACGTCGGCGATAGTCCCCTCCAAAGCGTCGTGAAGCCTTCGTTACGGGCAATCTTACGCAGGCCATCAATGGTTGAGTTATACGTCTTCTTTTGAACCTCGTGGACAGCACAGTCAGCACTAGAAGCTGCTGACGATGTGGCTGACTCCATAATCCCTTCGCCTCTCGGAACTGCGATGCACAGCTCTGCAGAATTACCTTGGAAAAAGACTTCGCGACAGCATGCCGTAACTCCGAGCTCCGCGGTCTGTGCAGGTGTGAGGGAGGTCGTCCGTAGCGCTAGTTTTGAAAAATCGACGGCTGAAGTTGGTGTCCGTTGTGATTGCAGGCGAACTCGAACAACATCAAGAGGGGTAACTGTTGATAGTTAGCATGCGGGAATCAACAGACTGTGTCGGAGTAGCTCTCGGGCTCACCAAGCAGCGACGTGAGTAAGCTCCCGGACATGGCTGAGATCATCTTCTGCGACGCGGTGATGTCTGGGACAGGATCCAGGCCATCGCCGCCGTTCGGTGAGCCTACACCGGAGCCTCGGGTCTGCATGTTCACACTGTCCGCCTCGAGAAGTCTGTCGTAGTTTTGGCCGCCAGAATCAAAAGTCGTGATTGAAGCCATGGCGGGCTCTCGGGCTATCGCCCGGTAAACTCGGAGAAAATCAAGCGCTGCTGCAAAGGCCACAGGCTCGGCAATTAGAGCAAAACCGGTTCCTTGCAAACAGCACTAATTTGAAATATAGCCCTCTCTTTCAGAAGAAGAGGGAATATTTGAAAATGAGGTCAGAAGTTGGGTGAGGGGGGAATGGGGAAGACAATTGAATGAAGTACCTAGGAACGTACCATCCAACAAAGACGGCTTCCACAGGAGACCAGAACTTGGGGGATTTTGCCCCCGTAGCCGGCAAGTCGATGGCACATGCCGCAGGTTCCTGTCCTGTCAATGGTCACGGCTAGTCGTGATTGGCCAGCCTATAGAATCTATGACTCGATTCTCCACAGGGCAACATTGAGAGCCTTAACGCATCGATAAGATTATCTCAGCAAAAAAATCGGAGGCGGGGCCCTAGACACTGACTAAGCCAGAAACAAAAAAGTTCCATGGTCAACTCGAGTTTGACCGATACGTGCCTCATAGCGATCGTTGTAGCGAGCCTCGACCATCTCGGGGTAAAGGTCATCGCCGCAAACGATCCAGCAAGTGCGTTTGCAAGTGGAAGGCTACCAGAAAAAAAGAGATTGCCAGTGGCAAACACCAAGTACCAACACACAGGCCTGCATCCTATCTGAAGTCCTTCACAATGCGGTAAGACTCGCTTGCTGTCATGAAGCGCAGACGAATTGCACTCGATTCTAACCCACGCACAGTATTGAGCCTTGTTATTTCTGCGGCAGACCTAGCTATCCCAGCAAGGGGATAACATTTATAAGAAGTGACTGTAAGTTTTGCCTTACAGGCCTTTTTTGCAGAGGGGGGTTACATGGCCGTGTTCGCTAACGCTCGAGTACCCTTCAGCCAAAGCATTTCGCTTCTGCAGGTGAGTGCCCTTATTGCCAGTGCATCGAGTCACCGCTTCTTTTCCTTACTGACAAAACCCAAGGTCAAAATGCCACAAAAACTTCAAGATGAAGCGTAACCCCCGCAAGCTCAAGTGGACAAAAGCCTACCGCAAGAACGCCGGCAAGGAAATGGTTGTCGACAGCACGCTCCTCTTCGGCGCTCGCCGCAACGAACCCGTCCGCTACAACCGCGACCTCGTCCAGAAGACCCTGGGAGCCATGCAGCGCATCAGCGAGATTCGTGCCCGTCGCGAACGTGTGTTCTACAAGAAGCGCATGGCTGGCAAGCGCGAGCGCGAACTCACCGCCGCCCGAGAGCTCGTCGCCAAGAACGAACACCTGCTGCCCCGGATGCGCGGCAGCGAGAAACGCCGTCTCGAGGAACTGGCTGCCGAGCAGGGTCTCGATGTGGAGGAGTTGGCTGCCGAGCACTTGCAAAACGCCAAGCACGACAACAAGTTGTTTGGCGGTGAGAAGAAGAGGCTCAGGGTACGGGTTGACGGTGGTGTTGAGGGTGATGGGGACAATGAGATGGATATAGATTAAGTCCTGGGGAGGCAATGTGAAGGTTGGTTAAAATTGCATGTCGCTGCTCTGCTCGGGTTAGTTGTGTGGTATTTGGGCATCTGTACAAACCCCCACGAGATCTGGCGTGCTTGGGGCATTCACTGCGCCTCGTTTGACTTGTCGCGGCCTACCGCGGAGCATTTTTTTCTACTTGGCGTTTTGGGATCGGTGTTCAAAATAGATGCTATAACATTGGTACACCCAGCTTACCTACCAAGCGCTACGCAAAATGCGCACAGCACCCAGATGCCTTTCTATCGGTGCACATGCTGTTGGCAAGGTGAAAAGTAACAAATGGCATGACGAGGCCAATGTATCTATGAAAATCGTACAAGAAGGATATTCGCAGCCGGGCCGATGCTTGAGGACCCAGCCGAGTTTATTCATCGAGTACGAACCCAGCACTGGACCAATAATGCAATACAAATATACATTTGCACCCGACGGGCAACCAAAATGACTATCCAGCCTCAAACTATTCGTGCTTCGTCTGTCTGCCCTGTATTGCTAGCACCCGGTAAGAGTACCTAAGTAGGTATATAGTCAATCGTTCAATCGTTGGTAATTCGGCCACCAACCCACCGTGGTAAGGACAAAACGCTCACCCAATCAGGAAGCGACCATGACCGACCGTAGTCATCACGGAGCGGAAGTAATACATTGCATCACCGCAACTCAACCTCATCAAAATATAGTGACATGAGCCTACATCATGGCCCGCCTCAGAAAAGCACTCCTGTACTCCTAGTCCCCAAGACCGTTGATCCCTCAACTGTCTCATTTTCTTTACTCCGTATCACAACCACACTGCGATAACCCAGGTCTCCCTCACTCGCCTTTACCGGACTTTGGAGCCAGACGTTCAAGTTGACAACCTGCCGCACCATCTCACAAACAACATGGAAGAATCAAACGGGCTAGGCTCAGAGCTCGAGTCCTTTAGGCGGCAATGGCTGTCCGAAGTGCGCACCAAAAAGGGCGAGCAAAGCGCTCAACCCCCGCCACGCAACTCCGTCCCTTCAGCCTCGACTGCACCGGCAATATCCCCGGCATCCCCTCCCCCAAGGAAGTCCGTGGCGCGTCGACCCTCTCCCGCAAAGAGTAGAAAGGCGCCTCTGGCAGTTGAAGAGGAAGACGAGTACCTCCATGGCCGATCCTTTGACGATGGCCCCGAACCCTCGGGCAACACCATTGACGGGTCAGTTCGGATGCCGCCTCAGAAGGAGCTCGTTTCGGCGCTGGATCATTACGAGGAGGCCATGGAAAAGGAAGCCCTAGGCAACATGGGCGATAGTCTGAAACTGTACCGGAAAGCTTACAGAGTAAGTCCAAAAGAAAGCGCATCACGGTACGTGGACCTGACAAACGTAGATGGACCACGGCGTGCATCGCCGATACCGCGAGAAGCACTTCCCCCAGCATAAACAGCAACCTCAAAGCGCACCAGCGCAAATCACGGCACCAACAGACGCCACGCCCGCAGGAGGAGACGCACCCGTCTTACTCCCCATCAAGGACCGCATCGCCAGCTTTGCCGGCCTCCAAATCGAAGCAGCACCCGCCGACACAGACGGCACACCACCCGCGCCCTGCCCCCTCTCCTCCCTCCCCAGCGAGCTCCTCGTCCACTTCATGCAGGACGTGGCGGCCCTCGACGTGGGCGACTTTGCGCGCCTGTCGCTCGTCTGCAAACCCCTCGCGTACCTGGTCGCCACCGAGCAGCGCATCTGGCGACAAGTCTGCCTCGGCGAGCGGTTCGGCTTCGCAGGGATGCACCGCCGCTGGAACAAGACGGTGGAATGGGAAGCCCTAGAGGAGGACGACGGCGACGGCGACGGCGACGGGCTCGTCGGCACGACCGAGGAGGCAGCCGTCACCGCGTCCCTCGTGCCCGATCCCTACGCCTCCTGGGGGGCCATGTTTCGCAGGCGGCCCCGGGTCCGCTTCAACGGGTGCTACATCAGCACCGTCAACTACGTCCGTTCGGGGCAGGCGTCCACCAACCAGGCCACCTGGGGCGGCGCGCCGATTCACATCGTCACGTACTACCGGTACCTGCGCTTCTTCCGCGACGGCACCTCCATCAGCCTGCTGACGACGCTGGAGCCCACCCACGTCGTGCACCACCTGACCAGGGACCTGCTGCACCTGCACCGGGACAACGCCCACGCGTACCTGCCGTCGGCGGCCATGCAGCGCGCCTACAAGGGACGGTGGAGGCTGTCTCTCGGCGCGGAGGACGACGACGCCTCGCAGGCCGGCCCCCCCCGCGGGGAGGATGAGCTGCTGCAGGAGGGCGATGTGACGGTTGAGACGGAGGGCGTTGACCCCAAGTACATGTTCAGGATGGACCTGTCGCTTCGCACGGCGGGCAAGGCCGCGCGGAACAATAAGCTTGTGTGGAGGAGCTTCTTTAGCTATAATAGACTGACGGACGATTGGGCCGAGTTTACCCTCAAGCATGACAAAGCATTCTTCTTTAGCCGAGTACGCAGTTACGGCGTGGGCGAGTGATTTGCACCCTCCCCTGGGGTCGACGACGGATGGAGGACACGGACGCGCCAAGATATGAGTACAGTTTAGCCGTGTTACATTCAATTACCATTTAGTGATGAAGTATTATATGCCAGACTGTAAGAAATGAAAGGGGGGAGCCTGTTATTGTCACGTCATCTGACATAAGTATATACACTGAATTGAAATCCCCAATTATATATTTCAAATCGCTGGAACCGAGCGCATTTTTACCGCCCAATCCTACCCTGTCGTAGATATATGTAAATGACATCCCAAAATTGTCGTCTTGTTAGGAAACCAAAACAAAAAAAAATTGTAAATGAGAAATAGCCAGCCAATAGCGCCATTTCGAGCGCTTATCAACATTATGTCCGTAGTATGAGCTGCTAGATGGTATCGTCGTTAAGTCGCTTTCTGCGAGTTCGCTAAATGTATCCAATAAATGTGTTGTGGTTTGCAAGTGAAAAAAAAAAAAAAAATTAATGGAAAGAAGTCGAGACCCCGTCCTGAGGTAGGTCTGTATAGGCGTATTCAGACAAGGACAGTCAAGCTACCTTATTCTTCGCCCGTCGATGAATTTGGGGCTGTTTGGATCATGATAGCGATCCCGATATTGCATTGCCTTGCGTGCTTCAAATGCTGCCCTTTCCTCTTCATCCAAGCTGAATGCTTTCTTAAACCAGCCAAATGCACTCTTCTTCTTCCGGAGCCTTGGTCCGGTCGTATGTGAGCCTGAGGACTGAGTTCTGTCATCATCGTCATATACTGCATTTGTTACGTTGCTCAGAGTGCTCATGCCACCAATAGCGGACGGCTGACTACGCAGATGCAGGTAAGACCCACGAGACCCGACAGAAGTGTGAGGCCGCTGTTGCAGTGCTGAATGCGGTGATGCACGCACAGGACGATAGTACTGCTGGTTGTCTGATCGAGGCGAGTGCGTAATATGTGGCCGGGCAGGAGACGATCTTCCAACATCTGAGCCAGCCCGCGATGCCGCCCGTTGGGTGATGGATTCAGAGTCCGAGCCGTACGCTGAATCCAAGGCGTTCGAATGGGTAGTTCGAGGTGTTCCAAGGCCGGGTGATGGCGGCCGAACAGGCCTCGGCGGAATCTGTAACGCGTCTGGGGGGTTGGCCTTTTGGAATACTTGGGGAACAATGGAGGACCTAGGCTGCGGAGTCCCCTGGCCGTCGATACCAAGGGCATTATTTTGGGGTTGTATTGGGTCTTGAGGTTTTGGTGAAGAAGTCCCAGCCGGCTTCAACGCAGGGGATGGTGAAGGTTCCTGCGGTTGGGGGGTATATGTGCGAGGCTGGAGTACATATAGCGGTTCCTCGCTCGCCGATGGGATCGGGCTTGATGCGTCCGCTCGTTTGCTCGCAGCTCTTGACTGAGGAGCAGGCTGTATAGATGTCTGGGTACGAAAATTGTTGCCAGGGGCGTGACGGAGAAAGGAGCGCTGAGGAGGTAGTAGAGGGAGTCCACCGGGAAGAGGGAATTCTTCCCCCAAGTCAAGGCCGATGGTGCTCACGCTTCTCGTCGAGGTCGCAACACTTTGAACACTGGACTGATGCTGGTGTTGCCGAAGGGGTAAGTTGCGGGACTGCCTGGATGAAGATACAGACTTGGTTGACATGTCGTTTAGTCCTTGAGAACTAGAAGAGGGAACGGAAAAAGGCTGGATATTTGCCTAGAGACCACCGTTAGCAGTAGCGCCTCGTCTCTGCGAGTTCTTTTTGCGACCAACTTACCCAAGTCCTACGGCTGACTTCTCCAGCCTTCTTCTCCATCTCGCTAATAATGGTTGAGAGTCGCACAATGACATTGCTAGCTTCTTGTACACGATCACTCATGTCGTCGAAGGCACTTAACCAACCCTCCGTATTGCCCTTCATAGCGTCGAATATATCGGCCACGTCGGGGCGCTCCATTCTCCAGTTTGCATCTTCTTCGTCGTTCAGCCAGCTAGTAAATGCGGCGGTTGATTGTAATCCAGCCTCGATATCCTCATCCCACTGCTTCAGAGCCGCATTTGTTCTGGAAAGCACGTGGTCAATTTTTTCATTGCCCTCAATAATTTCAAGCCGGAAATTTCGATCTTCAAGGAGCTGTTCAAACACCCGAACATTGGCCAGTGGGAGTTTCAAGTGTTCTATGCGCTCATTCAGATCATCGATCGCCTGCGCAAGGTCCTCAAGCGCAACTTCTAAAAACTCATCGACTTCGTCAATATGACCTTGTAGAATACTGACGACTTGAGCATTGCTGTTGGCCATTCCATTGAGCAGGAGATACACGCCAAAGGATATTTGCGCAATCAGCTTGATCAGCTCATGTTGATTTTGGCCAGATCGAAGGCGCCATTTCGCGTCGAATGGATCGTCGCCTCGATCCTGGGCGATGAGGGCCTCTCGACGTCCTCGGGCATCCAACTCTCTAAGCTTTGGCTTGTCTCCCGGGACCCCGTTTGTCGCTTCATCTAGCGACTCCGAGAATGCCTCTTGGAGAGCTGGGATCGGATGGATGGGTATAGTATGAGGAGTCAGGGGTGGTTGTGTCAAATCGGTGGCATTTTGTTCTAGTTCGTCTAATTTTTCCGACTTCTCCTGGTCCGGATGAGGCGCTTCGGTTTCGACAAAAGGCTCGGGCACCGTAGGTGAGAATAGGGAAATGCGAAGACCACCTGCTCCGAAATTGAGCGGCGGTAGCTGCGTACTCGTCATGGTATGACTAGATAAGGAGCTCATCAAGAAATCATTTGACGGGACCAGCCGTTTCCTCGGGAGTACGTCAAGGCAGTCTGTTTTATCCGGACCCGGGACTGAATTCGCAAGCTACACTCTCGCAGCCGTGGGTGACGCAACAGCTACATGTAGAGGACTAATCTCAGAGGAAAGGGGGGCGAAATGCCATCCTCCTTGATCGAGCCACTTCGGCAGACGCGTTGTCATCCGTCGACAGCGAAAAGGCGTTTGGTGGGCAAACAGGGCTCGAGCTTCGAAAGTGGGAGAGAGCTGCAGCAATATGCCTCTCTTGCGATTGAGAGATTGTGAAAGGAGTGAGACAACGGCGGGTGGGATAAGAGGCAGGGCCCGAGAAGTGGTGCTGATTCAGCTTCCACCCCCCATGCGATGTTGGTGAGCCAAACTACCAGGGTGACAGGGGCGACACCGTACGAAAGGAGGACAAAAACCCTTTCAACCTGTGAAGGTTATCGACTATTAGTAGCAGGACTATGACGGAAGGCAAGCAAACGCGGACAAAGAACGGGATACCTGGTCGAAGCACGGAGCGAGGAGGGCGACGATGGGCGCATGAGAGAGGCACATAACGAACAGGGGACCCCTCGACGTCCTCGCTCGAGCGCCCAATAGTCAACTTACGTACCTAGGTACTTGTCCACGAGCATGGAACATTTGAGCATTCCCGTGGCATTTCTGTCGAGGCTTTCCGGCCCCCCGCCGCTCGCCACCAACCGGGAGGAAGGGCAGCGAGACCCCTGGCCTAGGTGGAAGCGCCGTTGCTATTACAAGCCAATACATAAATTGCTAAATTAGGCCCTCTTGTGGAGTGCAGAAACGGCGCTGCTCTCTGAACCTTGTAAATGACAAGGGGCGGCTCCTGGCTTCCAGACCTCGATCGAGCGGTGGGCTTCACGCAATTGGGAAAAGGGCCAGGAAAAGATGGTGGGCAGCGGCGCAGGAGAGGCAGGAGAGGACTCTGCGAGAAGGCCAAACACGGACAAGAGTGACTGGGGGTAGGAGGAAGTTATCATGGGCAAGGGCTGCGGCGAGGAGCAGTTCGTCGGAAGCACAGAGGCGGGCTCAGGAATGTGGTGCCATGTCTTGGTGAGCGATGCGGAGAGGGCGATGCGGATGGGAAGTTACTCGGTCGCTCTTTCCGCCTTCCACAGCCCACATGCACATAAACTCGAGATGCCCACATGTCCCGATGTCACGACGCGCCAGTTCAACCATCCTCTCGCCATCAAAAATGCATCTCCTATCCCTGGCTCTTTGGTGCCATTCCTGGCTCGACAGGCAGAGTGTTGTGTGTCATGGCTGTCACTTGCCGAGAGCCAACCCCTGTTGGCGCGTCCATCATTAGCTCTGACCACCCCGCGGGCCTCACGGAGGATACTTCACTTGTTGGTGGTGGTTGCGTCTCCCTTGTTGACAGTTCGGAGGAGAAGGTACAGAATTTGTTGGATCTATTCGTTGATGAGCATCCAACGGATTCATTGTTTCATCGTTTCTGTCAATCAAACGCCCATGAACCCTGCCTCCACCTTCGACCACTATCACGAGCCCAAGACCAACCACACTGTTGGCATTCGAGAGCAAAGTGCAAATTCGACCAACGCTTGAACGCGCAGCCTTTCGCCGATGGCAAGGATGCGTAATTGACACCCTCATGGGTCATGGCTGCAGGTACGCCGTGGAACGGAACAGGCTATCGGTGGAGGATGTAATAGTTACATAGTGCTATTTCTTGTCCCATGCCCCCACAGTCCAATCGTCGGCAATACTTCGTATGTATGTGCGGAGTACAGTTGTCGTATTGTGAATTTGTGATAAGGGCCATCGCTTGGCGGCAGCCACCTCACGTTGTACTTGGCAGAGGCACAACATGCCGTGAAGCGAGAATGCATACCGTGGAGCAATATTTATTATCGCCTTGCAGGGCGAAGGGCTGGTCCACCAGTACGGAGTCCGTCGGGGTGCGATGCCGCACTACGGGCGAAACGGCTTGTTTATTATGATTATTCCGCTGGAAAAGATGGCTCTCAAGTTGACCCATTCTGCACTGCGCCCTTTTTGGTTCCCAAAGCCGTAATTCGGGTTGATTTGACCACATGCATCGGAACGACCCTGCGCACGGGACAGGCCGACCGCATCCAAAAAGGAGACCAAGAAGAGGTCGCAGGACCAAGTCGAATTCTTTTCACCTTGGCCAGTTTCAAGACTCGGTAATTTTAAGATGCAAAGTTTTTC